TAATGAAGGAAGATCCTGAAGTGTATTGTCGATTCAAAGGTGCCCTCAAGAAGAGTCGATCTATTGGATTCTTCCGAGAATTCAAAAGAGTATATGAGAAATTAGAATTGACATCTTGGCAGATTTCTTTGTGTGAGAAACTTGATGGAGAAGCAGATTCAAGGAAGATATTTTGGTGTTATGGATCTCGTGGAGGAGAAGGGAAAACTACCTTTGGAAAGTATCTTGTAGCGACACGTGGAGCCATGCTTATCAATGGAGGTAGAAATGAAGATATTATATTTGCTTATGATTATCAGAAGATAGTCATCTTTGATGTGGCGCGTTGTCAAGACGTTCGTTATGATTTGATAGAACATTTTAAAGATGGTGTTTTGTTTAATCAGAAGTACGAGAGTCATGTGATGTATCTTCTTCCACCACATGTTGTGATAATGTCTAATGTACCCCCAGACTATACTAAGATTAGTGAGGATAGGGTTGTAATTTTAGATGTTTCTACTGAGCCTCATTATATGGCCCAGTAAGGCTACTGGGCCGGTAGGCCCGTATCTTCAGCCCGTCAGGGTTCGTCATCCTTGCGCGTGGGGCCCATGAAGTTTTAATATTTATGTTTTAGTCCCTGAAGTTTTAGAATAAGGTTGGGACAGTCCCTAACGAGGCGGCTTAGTATTACCCGCCTCGTTACTGCGTCCCAAGATTTTATTGGTCCACGTGTCCCTAGTCACGTGTTCTATCACGTGATATGAAATAATAAAAGAGTTGTTTGTTGCAATATTTTTATGGCGAAAATGCGTAAGTTTGTATTCACACTCCATAACCCTGTCGAGTATCCATTGAAGGAAGAATCCATTCCATCTGATGTTCGTTACATGATTTATCAGTTAGAGAGATGTCCAAAGACTGATCGACTCCATCTTCAAGGTATGTTTGAGTTACATAAGCCACAGAGACCTTCATGGGTGAAGAAGAACTTGCTCGGCAATACTGTTCATCTGGAGAAATGTATTGATCGTGACAAAGCTCGTGAGTATTGCCGCAAAGAAGAAACTAGGGTTGCAGGTCCATGGGAGCATGGTGTGTGGTTGACGAATGAAGTTGCGTCATCAAATTTAGCTAGGAGTATGAAAGACGCTGAAGATGGTAAGCCTATTGATGAAATAATGAAGGAAGATCCTGAAGTGTATTGTCGATTCAAAGGTGCCCTCAAGAAGAGTCGATCTATTGGATTCTTCCGAGAATTCA